TCCTAGATTTAGGACAGTCTCTTATGAAATGACCAGGTTCATGACAACAATAGCAACGCCTCGAATTAGACCTAGACTTAGATCTATGTCGTCTACTATTATTTTTTCTACCCCTCACATGCATAACCTCCTCAGATTTTCTACCCTCACCCATCTGTTTTAAATCTAATTCCTTACTCTTAAGACCATTTATTACAATGTCAAGAGTCACACTATCTCTACCATACTTAATAGCAGATTTCACATCACTAAAGGAATCAGGAATAGCATTTAAAAGAGCAATAGGGGAATAATCATCTATATGTTTATCACCACACAACTTAATATCTGAAATAAGTTTGGTAAAAACATCTAGATTTTCTTCAATATCTATAGACATATCTAGTCTAAATTTGAAGAATTTCTCAAGTAAAAATATCCGGTTAGGCAAAGAGGTTTCGGTATACAGTTCATTCAATTTATCCCACAGAATTTTAGCACTCTCTAAAATTCCAACTTTTCTAATCACAGAGTCAGATAAGTTCAAATAAATCACAGAACATGCATTTTCATTCATTTCAGCCCTTTTCTCTTCTGTGTCAGAAATTAAATAGGTTTTGCCAACTGCTTTAAAACATTTTTGTTGAATTAAAATACATTTAATTTTTTGCTTCCAAATGCTAAAATCAGATTTTCCATTAAATGGAGCCATACCATACTGATTATAAGCAGACATTTTCACAGAGAAAAAATAAGCAACACAAGAAAAATGTAAATTTTGCTGAAAAACAATTTAAATATTTATAAGGCTACAAATATACGAAGCAACTAGCACGAACACGTGGGGAGTATTAATGAGCACCAAACTCAACTTCAAAACCCTTTGTTCTTCCGTATAAGCACAAATAAATAATAAATTTTCAGCACAAACACAATACAACAATTCAATCAATTTAAAAGCAGTAATAAACCTAAAACATAATTTCTACACAATAAAAGACTAAAAAATCACTACAAAAGCGATAAAAGGGATAAAAGTCAATATACCGAAGCGAAACCCTAGGAGAGGCGTTTCGACCTTACCCACCCAATTAAAATTGGGATTTTTGGACAGTTGACTTGTGTTGACTGGTTTGACTGCCCGTTGACCAGGTTTGACCAGCCCTGGCGTGTAACTTTCTCCTTGCAATCTGGCTTTAGCAATCAGCAGCCGAAGGTCCAACGCCCAAACTCAGCCCAGCAACGAGCATCCCTCTTCCAGCCTAGTAGCACAAAAAAAAACCCCAAAGTCTCAAGCTTCCAGCGCATCCGCAACACTCCAGGCCAAATCTGTCAAGTCAACTTCACGTGAAGCCAACTTCCTGTGCTCCTGCGCGTTTTGCAGATCCAGGCTCCAGCTTTCTGCGACCAACGAAAGGACAACGACAAAACACAGCCTCCAGACTACAACGTCAGTCGATGAACATCTCCAGCTCCTTGTGTCAATCCTACGGCCAGAGACCTTGGCTTTCCTTCTTCGTGCGTTCAATTTCTGTCCAACACGAACAGGCTTCAGATTCGAAATCAAAGCATCAATCTTGGAAGGAGCTCAGCAACCCAGCTACGAACAGATTTCTTCGAGCTCTCTGCGACGGCAACCAGCTGCGACGGAGGACGGCGGCTCCAGCGACGAACTTATCGGTGAGCGATGACCTCCTTGCGACCGCAACCTCCGGCGACGGCTCTCAGCAAGTCGACGGTTCCACCGGCAAACGAGTCAAGAGCTCCAAAATCCACGAACGGTGAACAAGATGGCGAGGACGAGTCGCGAGAAGACCTCCACTGTCTTCAATCAACGAACAGCAATCTTGAACGACGGCGCACGGCGGCTCACGGCGGCGGGCGGTGGCAGAGCGTTTCACAAAGTAGATTCCGGCGAGACCAACGTGACTACAACCCTAGGCTCTGATACCACTGTTGAGGATCGATTCCGTCACCGGATTCCGGCTCAGGCAGTCCGGACGTCGGTTTTCCCGGTTGTCTCTTGTGCACACCTAGGCTAAGGGAGCAACACACCTTTCTAGCCTCGCCAACACTCACACTCACCTCTCCAAGAAGGATTCTCACCTCACAAAGAAGAATAACAGCTTCACTCACCAAGAGGAAGATGAAGGGGGAAACACTCTGAGTTTCACACGCAGAACAAAGGGGCAGGGGGTGTGGTTATAACAGGGAAGTATTTTGGCTTTATTAGAAGAGCTCACAAGGACACTCAAATAATACACTGCACACACAACTCATCACTAGCTCAATAATGCGTTACATTCAAATTCTAACGGGAGAGGCAAATATTGATAGACCAGACAAACAAATGGGTATAGTGTAGTGGGCTGCTAGAAAGTGTGTTGACCATTATTAATATACAAAAACGTTTGGGCCAACAATATATTAACAGTACCCATAAGGTACCGTACCTTTGTCCACATGGACCAATGAAAAGGTAGCAGTTGAATTATTTAAATCTAAATTAAAATTGATAAAGTGATGTGGTCCAATCAAATGAATGGTAGGTACGGTACCTCTGTTTTTAGAAAGGTACCAGAGTTGTCACCTTGATAAAAAGGATCATTTATATGCGGAGTATTTTTTTATTATTCATTTTACCAAATTTGAAAGCTCGTTATATGGAACTGTATTTTAAAAATACAAGATGTCATCTTTACTTTTAAATTCAATGTTGATAATTGATAAACCTTCTAATTTTTTAGTTTTCTAAACTTCTCACGAGCTTTCACACTTCAAGTGGCATTCTAATTGTGAGTAATATATTTCTTGAGCTGTGGGTTTTTATTAACCTAGAGTTTCATTTTCATCGTGTCTGTAAATCTGGACATTAGTGAATGAATTTGAAGCGCTAAAATAAATTGTACATCCCTTTGTTAACTTCTGTCGATTTAATTTCAATGATAAATTTGGGGAATACTTTTTTGATATTGTTGAATACTATGCTTTATATTCTTGTAATAATAGTATAATTTAATATATTTGGTGGGTAATACATTAACTAACTTTGGCGATTGTGCAATAATCTTGGCAGGGCTATTATAAGCAAGTCAAGGACAAAGCTTCGGGATCTAAGCACAATTTTCATGAGAAACGCGAGCTGATAAAAAAGTGTTAAATCATATGCATGGTTGAATGAATTGATCATAAAAGATATCTCAATATGCAAATATTTTCTCTCGATCGGAGTCTCGGAGATGCTCCATAATCCATACAAGCTTTTATCGAGAGTATAAAACTCAAACGCATCCTTGCACATATAGGAAAGCTTTAATCAAATATTGACTCATATTTGCTGATATGGTCATGATTTGTTCATTTTAAGTCTAGCCTGGTCAGGTAAATGTCTGGTCTCTATGTATTTTGTAACTATCCAAGTCTGCTTAGTCTGGTATATTTAAGTCTGCTCTGGTATGATGTGGACCTGAAAACAGTCTAAAAGAAAACATAGTATTATTCGACAAAGCTCTACCAAACACTAGTTTTCTAAATAAAAGTGAAAGAATAGATATGCACTCCAATGTGTATGAAACATTATTGCCCAAGTCGCAGTGGAATAATGATCCCCTATTTATCGAGAGTCTGACTGCACATTGGGCGGATTGGGTCGGATTTAATTTGCTACCCGAGTATATTTTTTGGGCTTATCCAACTTATTAAGGTTGGCTATTAACCAAGCTGCAACATGCGAAATGCAATATAATTTGGGTCGGGTATTGGAATTCGAAAAAAACTATTTCGGATTTGGTCTTTAATTAATGTGGGCAACTAATGTAGCCAATTTTAAACTTGATTAACTTCTTTCCATAATACACAACAAAACAAGTACGTTTTATAAGCAATTAAGCATAAATTGTGGATAATAATATCAAGACATCCTTGAAAAAATTTAGAAGCAAACGTAAATATATATTATTCACCTATTCAAAATGAAAAATATTTACAATTTCAATATCATAGTCTTAGATAAAGCATATCGGTATAAAATAGAAATTATCCAACAAAAAATTGTAGCATAATAAAGGAAAATGAACTTTCAGCGGAGTCAACTACTATCAGGGTTGAAATTTTAATTCTGCAACCCTATTATATCCATTAGGAGTGGGTTGTACACTCTATTCTAAAAATCGTTCTAGGCGCCCGACTAGTCCCTGCCTAGGCGCTAGGCGGTGGCCGGGCGCCCCGATTTTCGTCTAGGCGCTCCGACTAATTGGTTTGCCGCCTAGGTGAATTAGTCGCCCCCGCCTATGGCGTCTAGTTTCCCGCCTAATTAAAGCGCCTAATCGGCCGCCTAGACCGTCTAGATTCGCCGAACATTACTTTACTTTTTAATTTTAATTTTCCAAGTGATATACGTATTTTAACTTTAGTCATGGATATAAAGAAATGAAGTTGTAAATTAAGATAAAACTATACACGTTTGTATATATTTCTAAATTTTATCAGTATTTATCTTTATAACATAATGAAGTAAAGTGATTAGTTATCATATACTACGTATGATTAAATGTGATAATTCTATCTTTCATGTTTGTTAAGGTATATGTATATATGTATTTTATACACACAAAAATGCAATATTACTTATCATATTTATGCAAAAATGTACATAAAAATGCAATTTCTATGTCTCGGACTAGGCGCCCGCCTAGGCACCTAGGCGCTAGGCGCTGTGCTGGCGCCCGACGAGCGCCTAGCGCCTTTTAGAACATTGGTTGTACATAGTACGTAACCCATGAATAATTTTTGATCAAATACTCCATTAAAAATGGTCGAGTAGGTGGATTGGGTGAATTATGCGGATTCGGGCTTTTCTTATGTAGCTCTAATCGAGAAATCAATAAAGGAGAAATCTAAACGCTTAGCTAGAAACTTCTAAGATCTCTTTATGTTGAGAAGAATCCAATCATCTTTGTGTGAGCAATTGAGTCCTACATGTACGTTCCATAAACGGATAAAACTATAAAAGAGATTTATGTACGTATCCATAAACAGATAGGAATTGAACAATTTGGACAACTATGATACGTATTAATATTTTGTTGGGTGAGAAATTATGACAAATGCTTGAGTTAATGAGAGAGAAGAGGCTTGAGGAAAATGAAGAGAGAGAAACTCTCACATCTGTCTAAAACTCAGGGGACTTGATTAATGGAAATGGATATCCGGCACCGCAACCACTGCCGGAATCCTCGAATCTTTTCTCACAACGACCAATATTGCTTTATACATGGTCAACATCCTCACTACAGCATCTGGTATCGCGATGAACCACGATGGTATACGGACTCTCCGTCCAGAATATACGAAAGGAGTAATACGAGAAAGGGAGTTGAATCACGCGAAGCAGGATACCTTCCCAACAACCATTGGGACATGAACAGACACTCAGTTCGTCGAAACTATAATAACGCTCCCAGGTATTACTACAGGACATGCGGCGACTTCGACTCAGAGCTAAATGGGCAGGAACAACGAGCCCTTTCTCATCGCCAACACTCAGACTTCAGAGCCAAGACAGGTGCTCCGGAAGACGGCTGGCTCACGGTTGATTACAGGAGACGACGGTCTCCTCACCCCAACCGCCGAATCACAGAGCATCAATGCCGTTTATCAAAAAACATCTGTAATCCGGGTAATTTCAATCAATTTTCCTGGTTAGATATCGAAGATGACTCTCTTATTTTAACGCAAGCACATGTTTCCGAAAATTTGCTCCCAAATTGTTCATTCGGTTACCAGAAGATAAGGGAAGAAAATAACAGGAATTGGAAAAGAACATCAAACGCCCGGATAACTGTTTCAAGGGACGGCCGACATCGGCGGCAGGGGAACATAAAGGATGGTCATCTCAATTGCCGACCGAAGGTCTCATTGCCGGCGGCAACTCCGGCTACAGCGGCGGACACCTTGGCCGCGTCTTCGGATGCCGCGCCTCAATCAACTACAAGGGGGTCGGTGGAGCCACAAACAACTCAGTCCCAGAGCAATCAGCACAACCATGTCGATAGCTCTGGAAAGCAGCCAAAAACACTCACGTGGGCTGATATCTTGAAAAAGAACAATGACCATTCACTTCCTAACCTGGTTGTTCCATTCTCAGCCGCTAATATTTGTCTTACGGAAGACAACGACAATTTGAACACTACTCAAGAAAATCGGGCTGAGTCAGATTTAATTTCGGAGGAATGTGAAAAATTTGGTTTCTTTGGAGAGGATGGGTTTGACTCAATTAAAATTGAGTCTAAACTCTTCAAATTTGCAGTTAAGAACAAAGAAATTGTTATTTTCGAGATAAAAAAATCTTTGATGCACAAGATTAGTTTCAATCTTGATTTGGCTACACAAATCATTGGATATATCTCTCAGATCACACGATCTGATCATAACTATGGGCAACGAAGGAGAATTGGTCATATCATGATTTCTACAGAACTTAACAATTCAGGTTGGTTCCTGAAGATTTCTAAGGAAAAAGGAAGTTTCATTTTGATTCCAACGGGTCCAAAAAACTCTAGACTGCTTGAATTTCTGGCTATGTTTTCAAATACTGTGGGAATCTCCGCTTTAGTGCAGGAGGATCAAATGCATGTGAAACCCAAAACCACGGCAGACACAATAGAACCCACATCAATATCTAAACTTATATTTAATTTTCAAATTCAGGGAGCCTACACAGAGCAACAACAAACTCACTGTTCAGAGATCCCTCCCAAACTACCACTGCTTCTAGCCTACTCAGATGCTTCTGACAGTTATGATCCATCAGATGAGTCTTTTTTCTCAGACGACTTTCTAGGGCACGCAACTGAAAGTGAGCGTCGACTACCAATCTCCAATCAGAATGATATAAGGGACTCAAAATTCAACAGGGGTATCTGCCACAAATCCAAGTTCATTACTTCGGATAATTGTCTGCCAACTGATAACTTGAACACACAACTGAAGATTTATAAAAAATCTCAGAAGAACAAACGGAGACACAGTATGAGGACTAGATCACAGTCCAAACAATTCCCTTGGGCTTAGTTTGTTGTTTTTATTTAATTCTATTTTCTTTTGTATTGTTGTTTTTTTGTCTGTACGTTTTTTTTCGTATTGTACTCTTTCCTTTTATCAATAAAATCTTTCTTTTCAAAAAAAAAAAAAAAAAAAAAAAAAAAATTTGTTGGGTAGCTCTACGGTGCATTCAAATTCTGGAATGTTGTGGTGCATCATACGTGTGTCTAAATTTCATTGGACATATTTTCCACGTAAGCTCTCTCATTATAAAATTACCAAAAATTGCATTTTGATCCCTGCAAAATAGAAACGTAGTACTCCGCATTAGATCATTTTATTTTCTCTTTCAGAGCATGACAATCGATTGAAACTCCATTCTGGTTGTACGTGTATAACATCTTTCTTCAGCTTTTTTTGTGTGTGAAGCAATCGATCAATTTCCCTTTGTTGTAACAATCCATCAAGGTCACAAATTTCTAAAGGACACAGAAGCGGCAAATTTTTGGGCTTTACGAAACTGAAAAACATCGAGTCGTGGCAAAGAGGCTGCTCAGTTGCTAAGGTCACAAATTTCATGTTGATAATTAGTTTCTTTGAGATCGGGTCTTCACTAAGTACAAATTAAGAATTAAATCTCAGTTGCCGTTGTTTGTTGGTATTATTGTTTTTGCATTTATTCAATCGAAACAAGAACGATCAACGGAGCTTTATAATTAGAATTAGAACAACCCTATAGCAGAACCATTTGTCTAGAAGATGGTTTATTGCTTGAATTGATTCCCTAAACGAGCAATTCGTTTTTTGGTCAAGGTGACAGAAGGTGGCCGCCTAATTTAAGGAGATGCTGTCAAGCTGTTAATCCAGGAGACGGTGAAGGCACGGGTGCTGCTGATCCAGGTAACCAATAATAGATAGCATTAATGGTTGATGGCCGGTTATTTTGTACAATTTTAATAAATAAATATTCATCTTGTTGTGTGTGGTTGTTACTTTGAACTATCAGTGGGCACCAACTGGTTGAAGGAGGGTGTTAACGAAGACATATAGTTGGAGATACTAACTAGGCTACCAAACAGTCGAAAGAGCAGGGCTGTTTTGTCACCTTTGGCATTCTTTCATCTCTCAGCACCAGTTTATTCCCAAGTTCATAGGCCTCCAGGAGCAAAAGAAGAAAAAGCAGTTGTATTCCATCATATTCTGCATAGTAGATGTTTTTGAGCATGTTGGAGATGAGTATTATCAGCCCAGCAATGTCCATTTTGATCTCTACTTTCCACCATCATGGCAAAAACCCTTCTGGTATTGATGTGGTTATATACCTTGTCGGTTGTTTTTTTGCTGAGCTTTTTCGTTAAGCAATCCATAAAAGCTAAGGAATTTACTAAGGGACATGACCAAGTTTTTAGCCAGACTGCATTGAAATCTTCTAGGGAAATTTTAAGCTGGAGTTGTTAATTTTGATGGTGCTGCATAAAACAACAGGACATGAAGATGGGCATCTGATCTCTGCAGCAACTCTGGATAAAGGAAGCAAACGGCTAGGAGAAATGTAAGCTGCAACGGGAGCTTTTCTTGCTGGCAAGTAAGGGTTTAGAGCAGGGTGTGGGCTAATTCGCTACTTACTTGGATTTATCATCACATTGGGACAACACAGAAATGAAGCAATCCTGAAAATTGGCATTTTTCAATCATTTTCTACTCATATATGTCATAGTTTGAAAATTTCATTTAATTCCTACCTTCATTTGAGCCTTTTCTCATTAGAGTATGTACTATTTTCCTTTATCATTAATAAAAGTTTCTCCTTTGTTGTGAGAAAAAATGCAACATTGTCTTTTGTATATGTGAGATTGTACGGCAAGATATGAGCTACAGGAAAGTACATTTCCATTTAAACAAACTTTTCAAAATTTTAGTACATTCTGTGCCACCTTACAAAGTTAATGTCAAGAGAGAAGATGCGGAAAATATAGAGTATAAGAATGTAATTGGAATTTGAAACCTAAGGCGCCTTTTATTTAGTATACCCGCCTATATTTTTCATTCCCCGCTTCTGTCATTTGGATAGCCCGATAGATAGTGTTTACAAACTTAAAAAAACAATTGCGGAGTACAAGGCGACACAATATATAGCACTTGCTATATAAACGCTATGTTTGGTTGCTATGAAAAAGTAATATTGTTGTAGTGACATAAAAGAGATAATACACCATCAGATTTAAAAAGAATTATTAGAATAACAAATAGGAAACTAACTTCATATTAACAAGAGAGCCGCTAACAGTGCAAGGTAAATCATGAACGTTGGTGAAAATTAAGGATCTATCTAAAGAGCAACCCAACTGAACTGATACAAAAACCATATCGACCATATAAATTTTTTTTCAAGCTTGATGCAGATTGATCATGAAATATGACCCCAAAGACCAATAACATGAAAGGGATATTGCACCACTATATTTGACCCACACCAGCAATGAGAGTAACGCTACTTTGGTACGGCCAAAGTAATCAAGCCCGATATGCCTACGATTCATAGTCTAGGCCTAACATCCTACTACAACATGACAGAAAATGACGCCATAACCGAAAGTATGAAAACCAATGAGATCGCAGTTCAGAAATCCTTTGATAATATCATCTCTGACCGGCAAAGTCCGGTATATTTTTGAAGAAGGGAATGGGTTGTGGAGAAAAATCCAAGTTTGAAACGGCGATAAGGCTTCCTAATAAATGTTGGGAGAACCATGAGATGATAATCATGTATCCATATGTAATCACTGTCAGGATTCATAACTTCCATTACCTTGTCGGCAAATAGCCTGTTAGCAGATACATATGCTTGCCACAACTAACGATGATATCTATTTCCATGGTCTGGAGACATTGGTAACATATAGTGGAAAAGAGGCCACATATATTGCTTACAGAAACAGTAATAAAACATCTTATAAATGTCTGGGGTAGAAAAGTTGGAACACACTTTTAGTAAAGTTCACTTGAAATATGTTTTCTCACTTTAATATTTTGACAACCTGGAAGCCTGTTTTTTATAAGCTGAAGTAAGTCTAGGAATAAAATAAATGAAGAACGGGGATACATCCACTTACCTCCCCCTCATAATCTACTAACTAAACATTACTTAAAGTGGAGAAAGTGTTCGAATCATTTCTCTCTCTCTCATTTATATAGCCTTACATTATACATGAGCTCAAAGCATCAAACATAGGCAATGAGTTGTCAAAGCATCTAAGAAACATTTGCATCCCAAAACATTTATCACGAGACACAAAATGGTGTGAGGGAGGAACAACCAGCCATTCCTCTTCAACTCATTCAATTTGAAACATCTTTCTTCCTGTTTTCTGAACCAACTTTGCTTAGAATGTTTTTCAGTCAAACAGTTCTAACATCATCCATCACGAGGGAGCAAATGTGTGTTTGCTCATCTCACCCAATGTCAAATATGAACTCCAACCTTCTTTTTTGAAAACTGGGATTTTTACCCATATGTCACATGTTCTCCCCAGATACTCCTAGCAAGCTGGATGTCCTTGATAAATATGGTGCACTTGGCCTGAATGGAACGGAGGTCAGTGTCCTCACATAGACCAACAAGATATATCATGTTCACCTGAAACATTAATTAAAAACAGTAGTACCTAACATTTATTTGATAATACAAAAATGAATTAGTTGATGTTATTTCCAACTTACTGTTTTAGCTTTAAAACAGTAAGTTGGAAATAACATCAACTAATTCATTTTTGTATTATCAAAAATGATACAAAAGTTACAGGAAATAATGAGTTACCTTCACATGTTTATTTTGTAACATGCTTGTGTTACCTTCACATGTTTATTTTGGACATTCCAGATAGGGTACCAGCCTACAAGATGTTTGACTAGTGGATTAGAACTCAAGTTTAAGTCACTAATTTGTAAAAATAGTGAGTTACCTTCACATGTTTATTTCCAACTTACTGTTTTAGCTGATAAAACAGTAAGTTGGAAATAACATCAACTAATTCATTTTTGTATTATCAAAAGTTACGGAAATAATGAGTACTAGTAGCGTATACAAGAAGAAGCAGTAAAAAACAAAATATTGAGCTCCCATGAAAAACAACTTTTTATCAGGAATTTCATTGCTATAAAGCTGACATGACTGAGTTATAGTTGTCTAGTATAATACTCTTTATACTAGTCGTCTAGTTATAGTTGTGTCCTTGATTTATCTCATCTCTGTTTTAAAAGATTGCTTGGGGTTTAAACCCACTTTCAAAGATGGCTTCAAATCCAAAAGACCTCAATGCAGTCATTAGTGAATTACAGAGAAAAATGTAATCAACCCGAATGAAAGTAAAAGTAAATACAAGTACATACAGACATATAGTAGCCTTTGAACCACATTTTTTCACATTCAACTTTTGCCTCAGCAAAGTATAGAAAAAGTTACAACACAAATAAGTGACTTAGCCGTTTAAACATGTCTTTTAACTTTTAATTCAATAGTTATACTTCTTGAATGCTGATACCCTAGACTGCATGCCCAAAATTAGCATGAGAAGGTAACACAGTCACCCGAGCACTAGCCGCTAATAATAGGGGAAGCATTAAAATCTAATTAAATGAATAAAAGCTATACACTTACTCACTTAGTGCGATAAATACATCATCCTTCTCATAAATTGTTGTGGGGCATAAGTCTCTTACTCGGCCTATTTTTACAAATTAGTGACTTAAACTTGTGTTCTAATCCACTAGTCAAACATCTTGTAGGCTGGTACCCTATCTGGCATGTCCAAAATAAACATGTGAAGGTAACACAAGCATGTGAGTACTAGTAGCGTATACAAGAAGAAGCAGTAAAAACGAGTAAATGCTAGACACACATCATCCTTCTCATAAATTGGGGTGGGGCATTTAACTTTCTTACTCGACATATTTTTACCAACCTCTTTCTCCTTCCGCTAGGCACCTGCAAGACTAGACTGTAACTGAAAGAAAAATATTGTCACGGTAAAAAAAATCAAAATTCTAATTGGAATCACTACTTAAACATGCACCTGAAGTAGGCACAAGAGTCATTTTTTTCAAGAAAGTGAAGATGAAGCATTTTGAAAAAGGAACCAATTTGATTATCTAATCATTAAAAAATAGCCCAATTAAATTGACACTACCTACAATCCAAAATACAAATTAGCTAGGGGATAACAAATTCAAAAACCCAATAAACCCAATAAGATCATACTTAGTGCAAGTGAACGAATTAGAGATACTGAAACTCACTAGCGCTGTTGTGAAGTGGATTGGGCCACGATGTGGCTCTGTTCTCCTGTGAGATGAGATTACCGGAATGAAAGAAGACACAGGTAACTCGGCAACTTGGTTGGAGGACTGAAGGTCCTTTCGTTCCTTCACCCTGTTAAAATCGGAAAACCTGAAAGAGGAATGATCATTTCTTGGCTTCTTGCACGCTGGTTTCTTTTGCTTTGCTAAAATAAATATCCAGAAGAATGGTAACTCTTTTGACTAAAACCAGTATGTCAAGGACTTAAACTGCAATTTCAAAAATATTTTTAACCGGTAGGTGAGTTGGAATAGTTAACAAATCAGATTGTGCCACCTGTGGAATGCACCGAAACATTCCAAAATGTGACCGCACGATAAAAATTTCCTATTTTGTTTTGTATACTATTGTTTTGTCCTCTCATTTGCTAATTGTTGCCGAAGATGCGGATAGATGTTTAACAATGTTACTTGTTTAACAATGTTACTTGTTAACAAGCATCAAACACGAATTCTCTGAAATTAAGGTTATATTTTATCTCCCTTTAATCAAGTTTACCATTTTATCCCCACAATTTATATGATTTAGTAAGTTACTTTTCACATTAGTGAAACCGCGATATGGAGGACCTTATACTCTTCTTGTACGGAGTAGTTGATGCGGGGTGCCTTTTCCCATTTTTCTAGCTACTCCGATCTCCTTTTATTTTTTCAACTATTTCACGAGCAAGTGTATAAAAACAAATGAGAATATTCTTTTGAAAAGGGGTTGTATACTTGTATATTAGACTCAAATTCGCAATGCTCTGGCTTCTGACTGCTCAAAACGTTAAAGAAAAATCTGTTTGTACCCACATTTGTACCCCTATTTTGCTTTTGTACACAAGTAATTCGTTAAGAAGAGGACAATATTTATCTTCCAGTGTGTACACAGACAATGTACAAAAGTGAGTATAAATGTGTGTACATCAAGAAGAAGGGTTCAAACGTCAAAGCCTACTCCTCTAGTCACAACATGCAGCTTGATGCTCAGAGTCAAAGCCGAATGGTACTCCCTAAATCCCAAAATTATTTCATTCTATCCTTCTACGTCTGCCTAATATATATTTTTGCCTTCTTTTTTTGATAAAGAATTTGTGGGTCATATCATTTGTCCTCATTTTCTCTCTCATCGTCACAAAATTTAGTCACACATTCTCGTTTTTCTTAATGTGCGTGCAAAGTCACAATAGGTATTTAATTTGGGACAGAGGTACTACATAGTACGGAGTATTAAATATCATCCCAACGATTAGTTTTTTCACAAATACATTCAGCAATCCTGGACCTTGTAGTATCTAGGGATGGCAACGGGACGGATCGGGATGGTTTTACTTATAACCGTACCCGCCCCATTGGATAATTTCCCCGTCCCGAACCGCCCCATTACCCAACGGGTAAATTTTACTCAAACCAAAACCGTCCCAAAGAATAACGGGTAAAATTTCGGATAATTGTGGATAACCCCGCTCTATTTAGGAGTCATTAAATTTTTTATATCAAAATAATATTTTAAAAGGCCAAAATGGCATTGCCTAGACGACTCTAGACTTCAGACGCCACTTCAAAGATTCGTATATCTACAAGGCGAGAAAGGAAGTAACTTAAATTAATTTGAACCTAAAAATACCTAATCTAAAAATTAATTAATCATGAAAAAATATGATAATAATCAAACAAGACTATTGAAATCTATTAATAACTTTCATTAAAATATTATAGTTAGTACATCTATAATCTATATATACATAATTTCATTTTTTTCATTTACCTCAGTGCCGCAAAGGCTCCCACCTACGGAATCTATATATACATAATAGAAAGAGAAAAATATCATCTTTTAATAGTTTTGTGACAAATAATAGATAAAAATGTAATAAAAATATAACTAAAAATAAACGGACATAATAAATAATGGACCGTAACCGCTCCATTACCCGTAAAAACAAAACGGGTATTATCCGCCCCGTACCCGTTACCCGGTCAATGCGATTTCCCCCTTTTGATCGGGGCTGTTCGGTGCAGGTATCCATCGATTCAGTCACATTTGCCATCACTAGTAGTGTCTTCAGAAATTGGTAATGTGTTATTCGCAGTTCACACATATGCACAAAACAAATACGGAGTCGTAGCATAAAAATGAAATGCTATGTGTATAACCTGTTTGGGCAATTTTTTGTAAATTGAAACAATTAAATTAAATAGATGAAGGAATTATGTTGGGCTACATACAAGAACTAATCAAGGGAATATAAAAATGCTTATAATTGATTAGATGTCAAAATAAGAACACGGAGTATTGCTTGTTAAGCAATATTATATGAACTGGAGTTCAACTTAAAATTATAAATATAGAATGGATGAATTAATATGTACTCGAAGAACAGTGTTATTTATTAAGGGTATATAAATAATATGAGTATATTTAATTCGATGATGATCAAAGTGAGAATACAGTGTTTTGCTTTTCTACCATCTGCCCCCTTTGCTATGGAACTCATCTCTATTTATACGCTAATTAGGTGTGGAACCTCCAACAAATAAGTCCACTTCCTCACTTTTCTCTTAATTTTTAGTCCAAGCCCTTCAATTGCTCAACTGCTTGTAGCCATCTTCTGCCTTATTTGACTTTGCCCGATATTATTTATCCAACTCAGTCAATTTGTTAATTAAAGGACAATAAATCATTGTCAAGTATCTTTTGATCTGATGACATTGTGAAACAAATTTTAAGTATTTACTTAAAATTGATCGCAAATAATAATATGTGAGAACATCGGGTACAATCTCTAAATATGAATCCTCTGATTCTTCACTTGCAATTTGATATGAATATAATTAAAGAATTTAATTAAAAATTAAATCTCTAATTCTTCAAAAACTTGAACGTTCTTCGGATCTTCGAATCTTCGTTCTTGAGATCTTCGAATCTTCGAACCTTTGTTCTTCGGATCTTCAAATCTTCTTGAATGCAAAATTCAATATTGAAGGGCCTCCGGTTTCAAGTAGCTTGATATTCAACAAAAGGGCCGTTATGTGGCTTGATCTTCTGTTAAAGGGCTTCCCGGGATATATGGCTTGATCTTCAATTGAATATTGATTCAATCTTCATATGAATATCTTCAAGTCTTCAAAGATTCGTTCTTCATATCTTCGAATCTTCAAAGGTTCGTTCTTCAGATTTTCGAATCTTCAAGCTCCGTTCTTCAGATCTTCGAACGTTCTTCAACTTTTGGCTTTGTTTGATCAAGAATAGATGAAATCACAAAGGATTATTCATATATTCTTGACAAAAACGTGGCTTGATCTCTTCCTCTTCTTCGGAATCCTTCAGAGCCTTTCGGGAGTTCTTCAGAGCTTTGCTGCAGCGTTTCTTCGTCTGGAAGTTCTCCTCCCTTCCTCTCATCTGAGACCCCTATTTATAGGTGTGGAGGGGGTGAAAATATGGTTTAGGGTTTAGCAAATTCGTCCATATGCATAGGGCCTCAAATAAAATGGGCTTTGGGCTCTATTTGCTTGCATTTAATGGCTAGAAAAATCAGCATTTGTTCAATGTATCTGGACAGCCTTTTTAACAACGTTCGGAGCTATTTCTTACGCATATGGACACATTTCTTAGCCAGATTCATTGCTCTCTTTATCAATTAGATCATGTCTCTTATATATTGGGTCGCTATTTGCTAATGGGCTCAAAAATAGAAAAAATTAATAGGATCGGTCCATTCTTTGAAAGGCCGCTTAATTAAATTAACTGGATATTGTAAATGACCCATATTAATTTAATCACTAAACTTTATCCGAGCAGATCCATATAAAATTTTCCTTTTGATAGGACATATGAGTAGTCTAGTACAATTCGATTTTGGCCCAATAAGTTCGAATTAGGCCCAATAAAATCAAAATAGCCCGGTAGCATTGTAAGAGACCCAATGACCATCATGACTGACCCAATAATTTTTTACATGTCCACAAATGCCCCCTCGAGACTTGCTCACAAATTCGAAGAAGGAAAAGTAAGTCTCGAAACTGATATTTACTTTGGCCCAAACCATTTAATCCATTTAAAATCTATCTTCCTGTCTACCAAATTTTCAAATAACTCAAAGCACAAACCGATGCCATAATGCGATAAAGATCAAACTAGCTGCCCATTCGCGTCAGCTTTGTTTTTCAAAAGACCCTAAATAATATACTTCGTAGAATAATTTGGTGGAGTCCAAATCAACTCTTTTAAAATTCACACCATCACCCATTCACCCTATTTGGCCCAAATAAAGATCCTTCCACCAAATTCCCGAAGTATTAACGTATCTCCTAAGATGAGTCAAATACCAAGTCCTTAAATTTGTATTCTATCAGGTCTTTGATTTATCGCATTAATCGGATCTCAAATTCTTTTAACATCTATAAATATCAGCTGATACTTCGTTTTCTGCATATGCGAAACGGTGAAGGCACTGCTGCTTGTTTTTTTTTCTTCCGTCTAAGAGCTCGGCCAGATTCTGGTAGGTATAATTTCTTTGCTTTCCCTTTTTGTTCTTAAATATCTTTTCTTTGGTCGTATAGCAGGGTTTCGAGATAAACGCCTGTTAAACAACAATTGAGGTTGCGGCCATCTGTAGAACGATTGAGGTCCTTTGCCGGTTGGTGTCACTAGTTGATGATCGGAGCTAATTTATTGCCGCTTGAGATGATGCTGGTTCGCAAATTAAGCTTCAAACGATGAGCAGAATAGAATCTTTCCAGAATTGTTGCAGTTGGTCCTGCCAACTCCTCCTGCGGTCGTCTGGAGGTTTGTCAACCGGAATTTTGTTGATGCAGCTGTTCAGAGCCGAACCAAGAAGGTTAAAGCAGAGCGTGATTTGTCATTGTCCAGAAGCAGGTGCTTGGATTTCATTGCCAGTTGATACTATCAAAACTTGAAGAAGCCATTGTCGTGTTTGTTCAAACTTGCCGTCACTACTCGTTAGCCAAAAAGGTGTCAATTCGTTTAAAGAAGGCAATGAAGGAACCCATTCCATAGCAGGCTTCCCAAAGAAGAAAATAATGAAGGATTCCATCCATAGCAGGCTTCCCAAAGAAGAAAACAATGAAGGATTCCATCCATAGCAGGCTGCCCAAAGAAGAAAATAATGAAGGATTCCATCCATAGCAGGCTGCCTGAAGAAGAAAACAATGAAGGATTCCATCCATAGCAGGCTGCCCAAAGAAGAAAACAATGAAGGGTTCCATCCATAGCAGGCTGCCCAAAGAAGAAACAATGAAGGATTTAATCCATAGCAGGCTGCCCAAAGAAGAAAACAATGAAGGATTCCATCCATAGCAAGCTGTTCAAAGACGAAAACAATGAAGGATTCCATCTATAGCAAGCTGCCCAAAGAAGAAGCTGCCCAAAGAAGAAACTAGAGGCTTTGAAGGATGACTTAGTCAGCTTTAAATTGTTTTTTTGGCTGAGTTTGTTTTTCACTTGTTTATAGATTAGCTTTTAGTCAGCTAGCACTTTCCTTCTTTTCTTTCCATCAAACTATATATGGATATATATTTGATTGCTTTCTTGCTCCTCATGAGTTGATATCGTCTTACTTTTTTTTTTTTACCAAGATCAAACTTTATTGGGGTTTGTGTTGTTATAACTGAACTCAAAAATGAAACTTTTGAGCTGCCTACGTACTCCTATGAAGGAGATCAAGTCAAACGTAGTTCATAGTACCATTTGAATAGGTAATTTAGAGGGACGGGGTGCCGTACACAGTTTTAACTCATGCGGGTCAGGAGCTTGCCGTACACATTTTAAACTCTCGTGGGCCAAGAGTATCTATGATTATGCTCACCCATAGACAAAGTGAGATGTTTTAGCAGTTTAGCCACTTACAACATCATTGGTGGTTTAAGCCATTCAACATTTCCTCTGGCCATATGCATACCCCAAATATCAAGGGTAGTAGAGCTTTAGGAATCTCCCGTTGATCGGGCCAATCTTTGAGCCATCTGCGTCGACCAACTTGTAGGCACCGCCTGAATATACTTCTTGAACAACATAAGGACCATCCCATTTAGGCGAGAACTTGTGTCCAGTTTTCCTTGTAATAATGATAGGTCTTCGCACAGCTAGAACTTTATCACCAACTTGGAAAGAACGAACTCTAACTCTCTTGTTAAAAGATCTTGACAAACGTGCTTGATAGCATTCTAGGTTCTGCTGAGCTTCTAACCTCTTTTCATCAAGTGCCTCGAGTTCTGTCAACCGCAACTTGACGTTTTCTTCATCAGTGATCCCATCTTGAATAGCTAACCTCAAAGATGGTATTTGGCGCTCAAGGGGAAGAACTGCTTCGGTACCATACACCAAAGAATATGGAGTACTTTGGGTAGGTGTTCGATAAGTCGTTCTGTATGCCCATAGTGCTTCTTCCATTCTTTCGTGCCAATCTTTCTTCGATCTTGACACTACTTTCTTTAACAGGTTGCAGAGAGTCTTATTGAAAGCTTCAGCGAGGCCGTTGGCGGCAGCATAGTACATAGAGGACTTTCGTTGCTTGAAGTCGAACAACTTGCATATCTTGTCCATCAACTTGTTGTCAAAAGGTTTCCCATTGTCTGTCAAGATATATCGGGGAATGCCAAAGCGGTAAATAATGTGGACTCGGATGAAATCAGCAACATTTTCCTTCTTTACCTCTTTCAATGCAACTGCTTCAGCCCATTTTGAGAAATAATCAGTAGCGGCTAGTATGTATGAATGCCCTCCTGATGAGCTAGGCGTGATTGGTCCAACTACATCAAGTCCCCAAGCGTCAAATGGCCATGATGCTACTGTCGGATGTAATGGTTCTGGTGCTTGATGGATAAAATTTGCGTGATATTGGCATGCCTGACATCGCCGAGCATAATCCATGCAATCCTTCACCATAGTCGGCCAGTAATATCCCATCCTCTTGATGTGAAAGTGCAATTTAGGACCAGACTGATGAGCTCCACATACTCCGGAATGTGCCTCTTCCATTGCTTGTAGGACTTCATCTCCACCCAAACATCTAAGGAATACACCATCAAAAGATCTTCGATAAAGTGTATCCTTATAGTAGATGAAACGTGGTGAACGCCTCTTTAGGTCTACTTTCTTGCGGGGATTTTCAGGTAACTTCCCATCAGTAAGATAATCAATGAGTGGCTGTCTCCAATCTTCATTTTCAATATCATAAACCGATGTAGTTGGCATCTCGATTATCTCTTCGGCTGCACCATCTTCTCCGATGAAAGGAGGAATTACCCATTTTTGACATACCCGTACTTGAGTTTCATCGTCAAGATGTGCCATGTTTGATGCTAACCCTGCTAGTGCATCAGCTTGCTTGTTTTCTTTTCTTGGCACGTGTTCAATTGTAACTTCACCAAGCCATCCAATGAGTGCCCTTGCGTATTTGTTGTAAGGATGTAGTTCAGGCTTTCTGACTTCATAGATTCCAAGCACTTGATTGATGATTAGTTTTGAATCGCCATAGATATTAACTCGTGTCTGCTTCATGTCTACAGCTATTTCAAGTCCGAGGATGAGTGCTTGATACTCAGCGACGTTATTGGAGCATTGTTCCATAAGCGTGAAAGCATAGGACAGAACTTGACCTTCGGGTGTAACAAAGACAACACCAGCTCCGGCTCCTTCTCTATGTGCAGCACCATCAAAATACATCTTCCAAGGAGGCAAAACTTCAATTATAAGCACATCTTCATCGGGTAGATCATCGGAAAGTTCCCACTCAGCAGGGATAGGGTGATCGGCTAGGAAATCTGCTAAAGCTTGTCCTTTTACAGACTTTTGTGAGACATAGACAATCTCAAACTGTTGAAATATCAAATACCATCTGGCAAGACGATCAGATAGGACCACTTTAGACATCACATACTTCAGTGGATTCGCCCTAGAGACAAGATGTATCGTGTGAGCTTCAAAGTAGTGTTTAAGCTTTTTGATTGCAAATATGAGGGCTAAACATAACTTCTCAATGGGCAAGTACTTCAATTCATGTGGAGTCATCATTCTGCTTAAATAATAAAGGGCATTCTCCTTCCCTTTATCATTTTCTTGAGCTAAAAGAGCTCCCACAGATCGTTCTTGAGCCGCTATGTAAAGTATTAAAGGGCGACCGGAGACAGGAGCATTTAGAACCGGTGGCTTCATCAAATAAGCCTTAATGTTATCAAATGCATTTTGACACGCTTGGTCCCATATGAAAGGCACGCCTTTCTTCATTATTCGACTAAATGGTTGACATCTTCCAGATAAATTTGAAATGAACCTTCGTATGTAAGCCAGCTTCCCTTGCAAACTCTTCAACTCATGAATATTTCGAGGCTCGGGCATATTTACAATAGCATCAATCTTGGCTTGTTCTATCTCAATGCCTTTGTGGCGGACAATAAATCCCAAGAATTTCCCAGCTGAAACTCCAAAAGCACACTTCAGAGGGTTCATTTTGAGACCAAACTTTCTCAAGCGATCAAACACTACTCTTAAGTGTGGTAGATGCTCATTTCGGGCCTTTGACTTCACCACGAGATCATCAACATAGCACTCCACGATTTTGTGAAGAATATCATCAAATATTACCTGCATAGCTCGTTGATAAGTAGCTCCAGCATTCCTAAGTCCAAACGGCATGACCGTGTAACAATAGATTCCCTTAGGAGTTCGGAACGCCGTCAATTCTTCGTCCGCGGGAGCCATACGGATCTGATTATAACCGGAAAAACCATCCATAAATGACATAATTTCATGCCCCGTCACAGCATCTATCATTAATTCAATGATAGGAAGTGGAAAGTCATCTTTTGGGCAAGCAAGGTTAAGATCCCGAAAATCAACACATATTCGGATTTGTCCATTTTTCTTTCTGACCGGGACAATGTTGGCTATCCAAGTAGGATATTTTACTTCTCGGATGAACCTAGCATCAATAAGTTTATCTACCTCCGCCTCGATTAATGGGATTAAATCTGGGCGGAAGCGCCTTTGAGCCTGCTTTATTGGTCGACATCCTTTCTTTATCGCTAAGTGATGAACAGCGACCTTTGGGTCTAATCCCGGCATTTCTTTGTAAGTCCATGCAAAGACATCCTTGTACTCTTGAAGTAAGGCTACATACTCTTGCTTTTCTTCATTCGAGAGAAGAGCACTGATATAAATGGGGCGAGGATCTTCCTCGGTGTCAAGATTTACTTCTTGTAATTCATCCAAGGCGGTTCGCACTCCTTCTTCAAATTCAGGAGGAGCTTCATCAGCATCTTCACCTTCGGCTGGAATTTCGTCTTCAAAAGTAACATGGTAAGATGAGGCAATGTATTCCTCGTCATCGGCCAGTTCATCAAATATCAACTCATTGTTTTGAAGCATTTGAGTGTGAACTATGGTTTTTAGTTGTGCTTTGAGAGTTTCTCCACACGAAACTTTTACATCAGTTTCTCGTCTCATTCTTGACGGAATCAAGCTTCTGCATTCATTCAAAGCTTGTGCCTTTGCATATTTGTTGAAAGACCTCTTACATGAGCGAATTTTCCCCAACCTTTCATGTACTGGTTTCCGTGCAAAGTTTTGCCCACTACATGGATCTTCAACGTCCTTTACGATCATCGAGATCATTCCAAGCCTTTCTTCTAAATTCTTCTTCGTGATCTTCTTTGGCTTTGGCCCTATTCTGTCAAATATGGCGGGCCTTGATCTTGCCCCCCCAATCCGATCAAAGACAGAATACTTCGGTTTAGAAGTCACTTCATCTTCTTCACCAGCACTGATATGATGCGTTGCGGCTCTATTTATGAGGATCCTTATGGGTTTCGGCTGAACATAACCCAATCCTGTGTGTCCTCGAAGATTGATCTGCTTCGGTTTCCCTTCACCACCAGCTTCTGGAATAAGTTTTCCCAAAATCTGTTCGTCGGGATTATACCCAGCCTTGGCCAGAAGTTTGTATGCATTTGGGTCAAATCCTTCATTTGTGCGTGCCTTAGGGAGCTGAAATGTCTTAACATCATTCTCGTGTTTCACTTCATCCTTGGATGTGTTTCGAGGGTGCCTTGATATTTCAATCTTTGCAAGAGGGAATACAAGCCCTTCTACGCCTTCAACGAGCTTCCCTTTCAACTTTGGTTCAGCCAAGGGGCGATACTCTTCTTCTTCTCTTCTTGCATCGTCATCTTTAAAAACTTTGGCCTTTAGATAAAACTTTGCGTCTGCAAAGTATGTCTCGGCTTCTGTGAATGGAGTTTCATCGGCTACTACCTTCTTTACAACGCCATTTTCCTCATACATGAAGCATTGATGCCACGTTGAAGGAATTACACCATTCTCATGGATCCATGGACGGCCCAAAAGGAGATTATATGAAGCCTTTGCATCAATGACATGGCATAAAGTGCTTGCCTTCAACCCGCCGATGGTTAAGTCAAGACGTATCATTCCAATCGCCCTTTGCCCCCCTTGATTGAAGCCTTGAATCATTAAGCGGCTTTGAGATAGTTCATCCATTGATATATCAAGGTCTTTCATAGCTCGGACCGTCAAAATGTTAACGGCAGACCCTTGATCTATCATAATTCTTCTGAATCTTTGTCCACGAGTGTATCCTTC